ATTTAAGATCCAATCAAATCACCCAGAATTGAGATTTTTGGCAGCTTACATGCTTGGCTGTGAGATTCCTGCTGCTCTTCCTGTTTGCCAACCCTATAAGTGAAACCACGGGTTCCGGTAGCGTCCACAGCAGCACAAGGCTTTGTGCAAGGGACAAACAAGACTGTGATTACTCTGGCCCCAGTTTTTTAAAGAAGTATACATGGTCCTGCCTAAGCCACCAGGTGGATAAGGGCCAACACCGTCTCCCTGACTTGGATTTGCCCGAGTTGGAAGGGCATCTTCTCCATGAAAAATTACCATTTCAGGTGCCATTTTAAAATCTCCTACAGACAATTATGCCAAAACTTGATGGTAGAAGTATATGCTTATGCCCATTTACGTGGCCACACAACTTTCTACCAAGAACATTCTAACTGGTGTTAATGCCTATTGGTCTTACAGTTTACAGGAGGTTCAATCCCCAAGAGGTCTATCTCTGTGATTCCTGACACTGCATCTTTGGGCAAGTTACTTAACCTCTCTGAACATCTGTTCCCTCATTTGCAAGAAGGACTGAATATACCCATACAACTCACTAAGTTACTGCAAGGATAAAAATGAAGTGAGAAACCCACACAAAGATCAATATCCATAGAAACATAATTTGTAATGGTTAAAAACTAGAAATAACCTTTTTGCTTATCACAGACAAATGAAAAACAAACTTGTCCATCCCTACCATGGAACACTATACAGCAGTCAAAAGGGATGGCACAGACAATATAAATAAGCCTCCAAAATGAGTAAGCTGAGTGGAAAAGGCTAGATCAAAAAAGAGTAGGAGGTGTGATAAAAAAATACAGTGTATATTTAAATTTCTAAGAATTTATTACAGTAAAAGAACACTGCCACGGATCCTCCTCAAAATAACCCTTTACTTCAAGCACACTTATCCCATTGTTCTTGCCACTTTCTGACACAGTTCTGGAATTCCTCTTTCGTGAGTGTCTCTGGCTGCATTGTCACAGCTCCATCAATCTCCTGAATCGGTTGCAACATTTACCTTTCATGGCCATTTTGACTTTGGAGAAGAACCAGAAGTCACATGGTACAGATCCAGTGAATAAGGAGGATAAGGACACACCCTATGGTTTTTATGGTTTTTCTGGTTTTTCTTTTTTTTTTTTTTTTTTTTTTTTTTTACCCTATGGTTTTTATGGGGCTGCCTTTCTGTTGGATGGAACTCAGCAGCAGCAGTATTTTTTTCTCATATTTCATAAAGACACTTATGAAAGAGGCCTTCCAGAACTGCTTCAGAAAAATGGCAAAAATGATGGGATAAGTTTGTTCAGTGGGAGGGGAGGATTTTGAGGGAGATTAATGGCAATATGTCTTTTATTGTAATAAAGTTTTAAAAATGTAAACATTCACTATAACTTTGATAGCCCCCATGTGTGCTTTGTGATTCCATTTATATGAAATTTTAGGCAATAAAATCAGTGACAGCAAATCAGTAACTAACTAGGGATGGAGGGTTAGAAAAAAGGAAGGATGAGCAAGGGGCATGAGGAACTTTGCAGCAATGGAAATGTGTGCATCTCAACATGGTGATGGTTTTATGGGCATCAAACCCATACACGTACTGGAGTCCAAGTGCACTGTGTCCTCCTTTGATAAAGCTGAAAAATATGGGAAAAACTGAGACTGGGAGTATAATGTCCCATCCCTGGAGTGGGCACATAGAAAGCACGCAACAAACATTAGCTCCATGCTAGAGAATGGTGAATGAGCCCATCAGCAAAGCTGGTGATGCTGTCAAGGTAATGAGTCTGAATGTGTCACATGTCCACCCACATTTACATCTACTGGGACCCAAATAGTACAGACAGGCTCTTCGTAGCTAGAAAGTACAAACAAAGAAGATGAACAAAGTGATGAACAGGGCTTAGTCTTTGTCCTGAAGGAAACACAGACAGGTTTAAGACACAATGCAGGAAGAGTGTCCATGAAGACGGTATTGATAGCTACAGAACAGAGCAATTTTGATGGGATAGAATGTCGAGAAGAACTGATTCCAGATGAGTCAGACCTGGCAAGCACTAAGGGATGGGGGCTGGTAAAGAAGTGAGGAAGCTGGAAAAGCAGCCATAGCACATTGTCCTCCAGGAGATGAGTAGGAGAGAGTCCTCAAAGGGCAAGGGCCAATTAAAGAAAGCTCTGAACACTAGCTTGAAGCTCAACTTCATTTGCCCAGGGGAACCTGCCCAAGAGTTGAGCATGATCAGATGGGCTTAGACAAACAGGTCCTACTACATCTGGAGGGTGATTTGGCAATTTATCAAGAGGACTGACGTTCACATCCCTCAACTTGGCAATTCCTGAGGAAATCATCAGAAATGTACACAAGGATTTATGTACAACATTGCTTATCGCAACATTATTTATAATAGCTCAGAGCCCAAAATAACTCAAATGTCCAGTAAAAGGGGACTACTAAATAAATTACAGTATGCTGAGTGATTAAAACATATGTATCCATTAAATTATACTTTCAGAATATGACAGGGTGCATGCTTCACTCTACAATGTTGAGTTGCAAAAGAAGCAGGATGCAGAAATATATGTTGAGCATTCGTCTGATAAATATTTATTGATTATCTTTTAAGTGCCAGGGTACAGTGGAGACTCAAACAGACACAACCCCTGTCCCCACGGGAAGGGATTCTACCTTTTAATGAAGGAAGGCAGACAGCAAAAAAGGGGAACAAATGTCAATAAGCAAAACATACAGCTCTTTAGACTCTTAAGAAGTGCCATAGAGAAAATCAAGGGAGGGGAAGGATAGAGAGTTGCAGGGAGGGTAAAAATGTCAAACAGATGCTCAGGAAAAGCTTCGGAGAGAGAGGGTTAAGAAGATGAGGCAAAGAGATCTCTGGGGAGAACTTCCAGGCAAAGAAATGGGCAGTCCAGCAGCCGAAAGCGTTTGGGGGCAGGGGGAAGGGACTTCAAGAAAGAGCAAGGTCGAGGCAGCAGAATACGAAAAACGACAGGCAGGGAAGTGAGGCCAAAGGGAAGCTGGTGCCCCTCTGGAGAAGTGGGTGGAGCCCAGAAGGACTATAATTTGAAGAACAAGGGCAGAAGCAGGGAGCCAGGTGAGATTTCCCTGGGGCCGCCCCAGTTCCTTACAATAGGGATGTGTTCAGTTTATAATCAGAAAACAAATGATAATGCAATCAAAGACAGCGCAGTGCAGAGAAGCCGTGTGGCTGCTGCCACGGGAGCACAGGGAAACAGAGAAGGAGGCCAGGGAAGCGATTCCACTGACGAGGGATGCAACACCGGGAAACAGAATGGCATGTGTCCACGGAGCTTAGTAACAAGCAAAATTACTGTTCTTAATAATAAAAGAAACATAACCAAGATGCAAAAACTATGCAAAGGAGAAAAAAAAAGATTTCCCCTGTAATCTCAATACCCTAACAATCAGGATTCAACATCTTGGAATATTTTCCTCCTGTCTTTTTTCCTAGACAAGCTTTTCTTCTTCTCTTAGTCATACTCTAATGCCCAGTACATTACGGACGTGTAAAGAATCGCTGAACAAATAAATGGCAAATGCTCCAAACCTCTGTTACACTAGCTACATGAGATGTGTTTTCACACACAGTCTGCATAGGCTGAGATGAAAGAACAGTAGCCAGTAGCCGTGGATAAACAGAAGCCAGGGCCACAGATGACTGAGGTGTCCGAGCTGGCTGGGTGAGGGGATGTGGTGACATTAGTTTAAAGGGCCTTGGACGGAAGCAACTGGGTGAGGAAGATGGTGTGGTTGGTTTGAGTGACCAGCGGGTATAAATATGTCCTTGCAGGGATGCCCAGCTTCCCATCTCTCTTGCAGCTCAGGGAGCAGTGAAGCTTCCACATAGGAATGATGGCAGCAGGAAGAGAAAAACAGAAGGAAAAGAGGAAGGCAGTGGAGGGAGGGGAGGGATACCAGAAGGCCCTGCTCCTTCTGGAGTGCGCACGTGCGTGCGCGCGCACACACACACACACACACACACACACACACACATTCCCTCCTCCACTCTTGACAACCACCTAGGAGGTAGATACATCCTCATTTTATAGATGAGCGCACTTCAGGCCCAAGAGGCTCAGCGGCTTACCTAAAGCAGAGCCGGGACTCAAATCCAGAAGTATGAGGACACTTCCCACTCATGCTTCTCTATGTTCAGAGAAGCTTAAAACATACCCAGAAGCCCAGGGAGAAAGTGGCTTAAAATGCCTTAATGTTTCCAGTTTTTGCTCTTAACTTCCTAAAACCCAGAAAGAAGAGGGCTCTCTTTCTCTTCCAAATACATATTTTATGTATCACCCAACTTTTAATGATAACCCACCAGGCTCTGTTTTCATGCACTGGGGCCTTCTCTCTGCTGTTAGGCTAACCAGGCCCCAGAAGCCAGGACACGCGTCAGTCCGACTGCACACAGCAGAGGCTTAGCACATGCTCTGGGAAGATGCCCTTGACCATCACTTGCCAGGCCCCCGGGGGCCACTCCCTGCTCTCTCAAGCACTGGACTCTGGGCCACAGTAGGTGACCCCGACTCCCTCTGTCTCAAGTACAGCAAAGCCAAACCCAGGCAGATAAGAGAATGACCGTGGCCAGGTGATCCTCAGCAGACGGGAGAGAAGGTAAGCAGAAAAGGCAAACCTTGCTTTTTCCATGGAGGTTGCTACCAGAACCTGTAAACTGTGGGCCATGGGCCAGATTCAGTTTACCCATGTGTATTTGCTGGCTTTAATAGATTATAATTTTAATTTCAATTAGTCGCTGTCTTTTAAAAAGTGACTTTTATTCCACATAAAAATCTGGAATTATGTAAGCTGTGTCCTAGGCGACCCACCCGCTCCCCAACCTATCACCCCTCCGCTTCTCCCGACAGGGACAGGGCTGCATGGCGGAGTGGCCTCAGCACTAGGTCACCAGGAAAGCTACAGCTGGTTGGCGTGTACTCACCGGCACTCAGCGTTGTGAACTCCAGGAAGCGGTATTCATAGGCCACGTCTACCTTTGTTTCTACCTGAGGCCTCTTCAAAGTTGAATAAATATTCCCAGGCCGTTTCTCATCACGTTTCTCCAACTTGTTCAGTCCACAACCCATTTCAGCAGCTGCCCATAAAATGAAAACAAAAAGGGGGGAAAGGTGTAAATTTTTTTTTTTTCGAAGATTTTGTTTTAAAGCACCGCAGTAGAGAAGATCATCTAATCTTCCTGGAGAGTACACAGAAGGCCTCAGCCTGTAAGAACTCGAGGATAACTTAATACAGATCCTGAATACAGGGGACTATGTTCAGGACCCAAGCTGCTATCTCTTTCTCTTAGGACACCATTACCAGCCATCCCTGTGGTTTTTAAATGACAACAAAACAATACCTGTTTTACGTCTTTTTTCTCCATCTGAGGAAAATAATACCTCGGAGTGCCTTGGTTCCACTATAATCCATATACATGATTTAAAAATGGGACCTAAAAAGCAATACGGTGCATTATGGTGTCAGCTGCTCTATTAGAAAAACAAGAAACGTGTCACCTTCCCAATGGTTGCTAAGAGAGAATAATAAGTTGTTGTTACAATTCCTAAACTCTAGTGTCCTTTCTACCCTCAACAGTAATTATCTAGACAAGAGTTTATATTCATAAAACATCTCTAAAAAGTAGATGACGGTATTTTTATGGGCCTCATCTCAAAGTCCCTTTTCTTCTCTTTTAGACCAATCTGTGGGAAATAATAGTACGCTTCTACGCTCTTAGAGTCATTTCAGACCAAAATGAAAACTGACTGAGCACTAATAGCAGGGCCAGAAAGACTGGGAGCAGAAATTCATGTGTATTAGAGTGAAGATCTGCAGCTCTGTCTGCAAAGAGAATGGAGAAATGTTAAGATCGTGTGCATGTAGGGTGGGCAGAGCTGCCACTCTCTCGTGGGATCCAAAACAACACAGGCTCTCTGTTCGTTTAGGCAGGCTGACACTCCCGAGATGACTTTTCATCCACTCCCCCACACCTGAGTGGAAGGCGTTTTCCTGTTGTGCACGGACCCCGCGGCTTCCCTCCTCACTGGGCTCCCGGTTGTGTACCGACTACGAGGCTTCCCTCGGGCTCCAGTGCCACTGCCATCAATCTAGCTCACGAAAAGATTAACTGGCCAAGGGTATCACGCATAGAAACATGGTGACTTCCGTGTTTCCTTTTGGAGATAAGAATTTCCTTCTGCTCAATTCATTCACAAGATACCCAATTTCCTAAGGCAATTTGGCAAGCTCCAGAAAAACAAACTGAACCTCAAAACAGCAATGCGAGTGTGGGTTGGGGAGAGTGGGAGGAGATGGGTGGTGTAGTGAAAACCAGGCTATACTTTTCAGTAATTAAAAAAGGAGTCTGGAAGAATGGATGGGAACAGGAAGGCTTACTTATGCCTTAATAAAGGAACATTAGTGTCCAAAGGCCTGAGCAGACATGATTTATGTGCAATCTGCGTGGACTGATTACTTGTAAAATACTCTGTAGTTCTGCAGATATAATAGCTGATGTTCAGAGGCCACAGACTTCACTGCTGCAGAGCAAGCTAACTGGCAACCGCCAGGGCAAATCAGACAGGAAATGAACCGGGAGGCCCCCGAGTGCTGGGAACAGGTGGCCATGGCGAGACGGCACCACTACCACTAGAGCAAGATGGCAAAGAGGCCAAAATCTCACCACGGTGCTCATTCATGCAGATTTCCTGCACGTCTGCTACGGGCAAAGCACCATCAGGGATCCGGGGAGTGTGGTCTTGGCCCTCAAGGAGTTTAGCCTGGTGTGAAAAGAAGGACACTTGAATTATAACCCAGGACAAGAAAGGCAGAAGCCCAGAGAGGGGGCTTCAGACAGGTTCTGCAGCACAAATCTGGAATGTGACTATGAAGAGATGCAGCAAGGGTATGAAGAGCAGTGGAATGGAGGCAGGAAAGCACGCACTGGGCGTGGGAAGGCCACGTAGTCTGGCAGGCTGGGAAGACAGCGTAGGGGTAAGGGTGTCGGGGAGTCAGGGCTACCACCATTCACCCATGTAGTGCTTTCCTGAGCATGAGAAAAGGAGGCTGGTGATGCTCTTTCTTCCAACGAATGCAGCGTGACTTACAGAGTAGAGCAAGGGCTGCATCTAAGACCCTACCCATTCCCTTGTGAGCAACCCTTACAACTGTCCGTGACAGGGGAAAAGTTGAGTGAAGCAGAACATTTTGAAACTGATCATGACTAGCTAGTCATATAAAGAAACATGGAGGGAGAATAAAATTTTCTTAGGTATGGCATAAAAGCTCTAACCACAGTAGGAAAATCTTGATAGAGTGGCACAGATTAAGATTAAAAATGTCCGTTCCTCAAAACACACTTTCAAGAGTGAAAAGGCAATTCGGCTGCTGGATGAAAGTACAATATGGGGCTGGGGATTTAGCTCACTGGCACAGCGCCTGACTGGCAAGCGCAAGGTAGTGAGTTCAATTCCTGGTACCGGAAAAAAAAAAAAAAAAAAGAAAGTAAAATACATTTACCTAGTGTGAACAGGTCAACCAGATCTCCAAAAAGGGAAATCTCTGATGTATAATGTTAACACTCGCACGGGGCAGATTTCAAGCTACGAACCTGATGTCATGGGCCCGAGTCAGGAAGAAATGCCACTCTTAGCTCTCACAAGCTAATGAGTTGGCTCCTGACACCATTGCATTCATTCACCGGTGCAGTTGAGTCCACTGTCAAAGGACTCCTACAAACCAGGTAAGGAGGGGCTGGGAATTTAGCTCAGTGGCAAAGCACCTGCCTGGCAAGCGCAAGGTCATGAGTTCGATTCCTGGTACCAGAAGAAAAACAAACAAACAAACAAACAAAAACCAGGTAAGGAACAGACAGGACACAATACCCAAAAGTAAGTCTGTGAGATGCCAGATCACGTATATCACAGTGAGGACTTTGCACAGATGACCGCGGAACAGATGAAAAGCGGCTTGATATCCTTGCTCAAGTGAAAGGCAGATCACAAGGAAGCTTAACCCGCATCTCTAGAATAGCTTAAACGCTTTTAAAACTGATAGTACAGGGTAAGCACCCCCCATCCAAAATTCCAAAATCTGAAATGCTCCAAAATGTAAAACTTTTTGGGAGATGATGCTCAAAAATGAACTTCCACAGCATTTTGGCATTCTGGTTTTCAGATGAGGGACGTTCAACCAATAAAGTCTAAGCAAACACTCCAGGATCCAAGAAGCTCCAAAATCAGAAACACTTCTGATCTCAAGCACTTCAGATCTGGGCTACTCAACCCGTACCAAGTACTGGTGAGGATGAAGCCAATGAATTTCCCTACCCTGCTCACGACAGTGCAGTTTGTACAACCACCTTGGGAAACCGGGAATAAGTAGGAAAACCAAATACAGTGTATTTGTACTCTGTAATTTCTAAACTTCCTCTCCTAGGCACTGTATATGACAACAAAAATTTGTCATGTGTACAGACACGAAGGCTCACAATAGCCAGACATGGTGACACACATCTGTAATCCAAGTACTCTGGAAGGCTGAGGCAGTAGGATCGCAAGTTCAAGCACAGCCTAGGCTATTTAGTGACTTAGCAAAGCTCTGTCTCAAAATAAAAAATAAAAAGGGCTGTCTGGAATGTAGCTCAGTGAAAAGGCACTGGGTTCAAGCTCCTTTACAAAGGAGAAAAGGAAAGGAAAAGAAGAAAAAAAGAGAAAAAGAAAGCAGGCAAACTCACAGTGTCACTATTCATAAAAGCCCAGTGCTAGAATCTCCCCACATAAATGCCTTACAGTAGAGGAGATAGTGTGGCATGTTCACACAGCAAAATACTATGAAGCACGGAAAACACAGACACTAAGAGCACATGCCACAACATGGGTGAATGCCAGCGCCTTTGTGGTTTGAGCATTCACCCATGTTGTTACGTGTGCTCTTAGCAGGTACTTTTTTTGTCCCTTTACGACAAAACAGAAAAAACCACTTGAGTGTTAGAAGCTGGGGTACTGATCACCCTGGTGAGCTGAACGGGAAGAAGAGGGGCTTCTGGGGTCCTGATCATACTGTTCCTCGATCTGGACACAGGTTACGCAGGTGTTCAGTTTGTGACAATCAGTGAGCCACCCCGGAGACTGCTTACCAAATTCATGCACTTGCCCAAGCTCAAATCTCACCAAAATGTTCAAAAATGCATGAATAATACCCCTCACAGTAAAGTTAGGTTGGAATAAAAGCAAGACACAAAATTTACATACTGAGTTTCACTTGTGAATTTAAACTGAAAGCAACGTTTCCAGAGGCATGTTCATCCGCGGTTAGCTTCTTCAGTGCAGTGACTTGTAGCTACATTACAGAGTGCAGGAGGTGGAAGAACTGTCTTCTGCATCAGGGTCAAGGCACGTTTATCCTGGGCCCAACCTGGGACACAACGGACACAAGCCGAGGGGGCACAGGTTGACAAGCAATGGGAAGCTGTCAGGCCTCACTCTGGAAGGCTGGGGATCACCAAGAAATAAAACCTCTTCTTCAAACAATCCTCCCGTTTGTACTACTCTGTTACATAAATTCCAGCATTACAGAGTTACTCTGTTGAAGTAAGAATTCCCCTTCAAAACTGCAAGTATCTTCAGGGAAAGGGCAATAAATTAGATTCCTGGTAGCCACTAACATTTTAGTATGATTTAATCCTATCTACAATTTTCTAGTTATTTTTTAAAATTTTAATTTAATTTCCTCTGTGAAGGATAGATCACCTGAAACCAGAAAGGAAAAGATGAACAAGACACATCCAGAAAGAGCTGAGGGCAGAAGGGGGCAGGTACCAAGAAGCATTAGAAAGATCTCCAATTCACAACTTTGAGTTTAAGATCTCAACCAGACTGTTTTAAACTTGAAGTCTCTGCTCAAGTTTCACCCAAAGGTTATGTACTTGACGTCAGAGGACATAAAGGGCTCTGGGCAAATCAGCTATGTGATTAGACACAGAAAAAAGTAAACAGTACTAGCCAGCAGAAGACCTGTAATAGCTGAATCTTTGAGGTCTCGAACTTTAGAGATTCATTTCTTTGGAGTGTGTGCAACCCTGTTTAAGCAACTGCT